TATTTAGTATAAATATTTGAAATAAATATTTTTTGAATTAAATAAATAAAAATTATTATTAAGAAACAGCATTCAAATATAAATAAAAATGTGATAATTTATCACAAATATTTCTATAATATCTGAGACAAAAATAATATATAAATGAATAAATAATTTTATTATTTTTGTATATTTGAAAAAATAACAACTCTTATTTTAAATATTTTTACTTGAAATTTTTATTTATATATAAAATGCAGAAAGTTACAAATTAGTTTAAATTGGCAAAGAAACATTTAATATACTTAATTAAAATGATTGATTTTTATAATTAATAATATTTTAGTATTCACTCATTTAATTATTACATGAAATTAATTGACTTTTCAATTAAATATTCAGTTATAAATTAAGTTTACAATGCTTCCAACTTTTAAATATCTTTAATGTTGTATTATAGTTCAATGAAAATTTCAAAGTTTCAATCTATTAGCTTCTCACAACATACCTTTCTTGTTGCCAAGATAGTTTTATTGAAAACTAACATTTTCAGCCTACTCTATAGGCCATCCCTCAGGCTTATTATCCTCATGAGAGAATTGGAATGTTGGCATTCCATTAAATAGAATACAGTAAAGCGTCGTTTATCCAAATCAATTGGAGACTGGGGTTGTTTGAATAACTTATTTTTCAGATAACCAATTATGTATGATAAAATATATTAACCTATCCCGTGTTGAAATTTTTTTCCGTTGCGTGTCGCTTTGCGTTGAATTTTCGTCAATGTTATGCCTAACATAAACTTTTTAAAATAATAATCGTGGCTATTGTATTGTTAAAAATTATTTCTTTATTTTGTACAAAAAAAAATAAATATATTGAAAAATATAAAAACAATAAAAAATTATACTTTAGAAGTTAATTTAGTATCAAAAATGTAAAATATTTGAGTAGCCCAAGACATAGCCAAAGATTGCAGCGCCACAGCACTAGCAAAAATTTAAATTTGCCAACTGGAATTCTTTCGGATAACCGATGTTTCGGATAACTGACTTTCGGATAAACGATGCTCTACTGTACATATGTACAAATTCAAAAAATTGACAACGTAAAAAATGAGAAAATAACTGAAAAAAATAATATATACAAATATAAAATAAAAAACAAAGTCAGATATAGTAATAGAAATAAAAAATTAAAATAAATCCACTAATAATATTTTAAATAAACATAGTAAATTCTGCTGAGACTGCTGAAAAAAATTGAAATTTACAAGAGCAAACTTGAAGAGGCATGCATAAATGCAATGAACACAGAAGGCCTACCAACAGTGTGGAAATTTATAGTCAAAAAGTTTGCCATGAACTTGTAATCTTACCTTAGTTTATAGTTATATATTTCATCAATTATACCTTAACAACTTATTTCAATGCTTATTTAAAGTATTATTAGTGGATTTATTTTTATTTTTTATTTGTATTACTATATCTGACTTTGTTTTTTTATTGTATATTTGTATTTGTAGACTATATATTGTTTTTCAGTTATTTTCTTATTTTTCCGTTGTCAATTTTTTGAATTTGAACATATGTATTGTATTTAGTGGAACGCCAATGTTCTAATTCTCTTGTTAAGCCTGAGGATGGCCTATAGAGTAGGCCGAAAACGTTAGTTTTCAATAAAACTATCTC